AAGTGGCTTGTGTTGTATCGTGTCCAATCATGTGCAAAGTAACGATAAAAGTAACTGTAAAATTCGTTACCGTTACCAAAAAAATGTAACTTCGTTAAGCCGGGAGCAGAAAAACGTAAGGCGTCGTCTACAATACACGGAGTAAGAAGTAAGAGTAAGAAATTGACCAATCACAGTCGAATGTGAGAAGAATAATCGACTGTGATTGGTCAATTTTTTACTCTTATTTCTTACTCCGTGTATTGTAGACAGGCCTTAACATTGGATTCACTACTGGCCTTACGGTCTCTACTGTGATTGGCTAATTCACTTACTGCTTGCGTGTTACGGCCTTACGTTCTTGTATGTGTCATGGGCTTTACTGTTACAGTTACTAAAGAAAAAAAGTAACGCAGTTACTAGTAAAGTTACCAAAAAAGTAACTTATAACTGTAACTTCGTTACAAGTAACGAGTTACTTTCATTCCCTAATGATAAGTATTTTTGAGAACATCGATTTTAGATTTTCACTGCTTAAGAAAAAAAACGCGATTTTATGAAACAAATATTTATTGCATACAGGAACGAAAAAATATAAAAATTTCGCAAACAGAATATGTATTATATGTATAGATACTAACAAGTTCGACTACTCGTAACGTTTGAGATTTTTTTATACTAACAAAACAATATCCAACTGAATATAAATATATATTAATATGTATTTTATAAAATAAAAAATATTTAAAAAAATACCAATAGTAAAACAGACTCTTTGTCAGTGCTCTTTGTTCCCTGTTTCTTGTTTCTTACCTTTTGCTTTTTTCTCTTTTACAACCGTTTTATCAACAATTGTATTTCTTGCTATACATATTTCTTGTTTCTTTCGAAGTTTGTTTACTTTTATCTCGGATGATAAAACAAAAAACCGGATAAGAAGCAAAAAGACAAAATGTAAAAAATAGCAAAAAGCAAGAAACAAGAAACAAAAAGCACATTGTAGAAGCTTTATGGCTGTTCTACAATGTGCTTTTTGTTTCCTGTTTCTTGCTGTGTGTCTCTGTCTCTTGCGTTTTTGATCGAGGAGGCAAGAGACAAACAGTAATAAACAGGAAACAAAAAGCACATTGTAGAATTAGCCTTAAACCTACTGACTTAAGTTTACTACAAGTACAGTCTCCTGAATCAGTGATCACTATGAGTTTCACTCTTTCATCTAAAGCAAGGATAAAAGTACTGAAAGTGTCCAAATCTGACGCAACCTCAGTTAATTGTCTCATTATAAAAATTTAAGAGTGGCGCAAATGCCCCTTATTCTTCCTTGCATAAACCTATGACTGGAATATATAAATTGTCTGCAAGGTGGAGGAAAGTCAAAACAATATTGAAAAACAATAGGGATTATTTTCATGATTGATGTATGTCGGTATGTTTTAACAGTAAATATTAAATGTCGTAAAAAATAGTAGATTATTTATTTGTACATTTAATGTAAACTGTAAAGCAAAAAATAATTTGTATGTTTATAATAAAATCATTTTTGTACTCAATTAGATTATTAAAAAAAAAATTACAGTAATTTTGAACGAAGCTGAAAATTTCTTGCCTTTTGTAACACATAAAATACGCAAGTTTAAAACGAAAGAAACGGAGGTCATTGCACTAAATGTCAACAGTAAATTTTAAACCACGTGTTCAGAAGAAGCAAAATCTAACCTAAAAAAAACTCTTAACGTTAAATAATACTGTCGAGAGCAAGTAGAGAAAAAAGTGAATCAGAATATAGAACACTAACCTCTTTCACGACGGGATCGTCTTCTCTTTCCGTGGTGTTCATCGTCGTTATTTTTCATCGGAATAATTCTTCAACTTTTTATATTTTATGTTGTTACATGTGCACAAAACATCTCTCTCTCGGAATTTTTCGGATAATTTAAATCGAAATATACCTGCATAATACTCCGGAGCAAACGAGACGAAAGGGGGATGAATTGATAATGGCAAGGTAGCAAGCATAGAACTCCGAACCACTTTTAAAAATCGGCGATAGACACAGTAGAGACATCTATCAAGGCCCGTCTACAATACACGGAGTAAGAAGTAAGAGTAAGAAACTGACCAATCACAGTCGAATGTGAGAAGAATAATCGACTGTGATTGGTCAATTTCTTACTCTTACTTCTTACTCCGTGTATTGTAGACGGGCCTTTACAGTCGAATGTGAGAAGAATAATCGACTGTGATTGGTCAATTTCTTACTCTTACTTCTTACTCCGTGTATTGTACACGGGCCTTCATGTTGAAAGTTGGCTTCCTTTACTCCTAGCAATCCGATTGGCCAAAGCATTAGGGTGCCGTCACATACGGCGTAACCTGCGTATTCTAGTAATTTACTAGAATACGTTATTTTTTATTTACTAGAATACGCCATTCTGAAAACCCGAATTCACATTGAGCGTATTTCGCGGAAGATTAGAGAGGGGTGATCCCGATTGACTACGACTCGATTGGACACCACCAATCACAGCGACCGGTGCTTAGGAGCTTTGTAGTCTCAAGCGCTGTGAGTGGCTCGTGTCCAATTGAGCCGTGTCCAACTGGGTACTATCCGATTAGAGAAATGCGGAACTAATGCAACCAATTGTTGATTAGAATTTCTGTTGTACACTCTATCAGAAATGCTAAGTAAATTTACGATTGGTTTTCGTAACCTACGCATCTCGAAAAGTACGCCT